GACAGGCCGGGTACTGATGGCGCTGAAGGCCACTAGGTGGCACTCTTGCCTTCACAACACTGGGCTCCCCGTGTCTTCAGGAGAGACCCGTCTCCGCAGCATTCCCATCTCAACATCAAATCAAATGAACTCGGAGGTTCCACGGGTTCATATCCCCGTATTCACGAGCGGCACAGTTCTCAATGCTGCTGGCGGCTCCCGTGCAGTACAGCGCACTGTCTGTCAGAACGTGAATCCCTGACATATCGATATAGACACCGCGCGCTGAAATGAAAACTGGGGGGCTGGCTTCGCGTGCCATGCAACTCCGGGCACACGCCCCTCCTCGGCGGGGGCCATGAGGTCTAACTTCTACCTTGGTTCAGGTTTTGAAGAAAACAAGACGCGTGTCTCCTTCAAACCCTGAAGCCCGCTGTCTCTCGGGATGATGACACTGTTATTGTGATCGTGTTACTGTCTATTGTCTTGTCTGCTGTTCTATTTATATACCCCACCCGGGAGAGACTAATGAGAAACACTTTTCACTGTACTACGCACCCGTGGAAGTATAATGACAAATCAAGTAGAATTGAATCCCGGACTGCTCGGCACGGTCTGCAGGCAGACACGCTGCGCTTTCATCTCGCTGAGGCAGTGAAGAAACACACGCTGTCGTGTGACCCTAACCCCGCTTTTGGACAAGTTGCATACAGTTGCGTCGTCATGTTACTGTGCCGTGGTGCCGAGATAGAAACCAAGAGCTTGGCAGTTGCGACACTAAATTTACTGTCCGTCAACATGGCCCTAAGATCCCGTGTTCAGCTGCCTTTCACACATACAGAAGCCTGGGTGATAAACTGTAACCTCGAAACCTTGACGAGAATTATGTGTCAGGAATATATATATATATGTTACTCTGTAATAACGGTATTCGCTGGCTGGTCCAGAATCCAACCTGATTTAATAAGAGTCGAGAGCGCCGAGACGCGACTAACAGCACCCTCACCTTCATCCCTAAACTTCCTTAACACATACATAACAAATCCTACTCGACAGCGTGCATTTATTCGCTCACGTAATATAAGACCAGCTTTCGACGTTAGCTGTAACACACGCACT